AATTATCAAAGACTTTTTCATCTAAAATGGAACAAATTATGTACTAAAATATAAGCCATATGTGGAAAATGACATTATTAGTCATCTTGTACTAAACGAAGTACTTGTGTGACAAGTGGATGGGGCAATGATTCTTTGTTGAACTGAATCTGCACTCAACTTTATTCAGAATCTTTCAGGTGTTGCCCGATTATGAATTTATATTTTCTAAAAGTATTTTCTTTCTTATTTTTCTAATGGAGGGGAAGAGATTTACTACCACCCAAGACAAATGTAACAGCTATAAGGGTAATACAAGTTACGAAAAATGTTAACACAAATATCAGTACAAATTTTGTCAGTTCCTGACATCTGCCTTTTATAAACCTGTAGAATAAAGGAGAAGCATGGCACTAGTTTTTAGAAAAACAACTGAGATAAAGGAAATATCCCAACTTGCTGGCCTGAAGAGAAAAAAAGATATGTCCAACTATAAAAATAAATGGTTCTAAGATATATCAGTAAAGTTTTTTTATGCCCTAAAAGAAGATTTAATTGAACATTTAAAAACAGTGCATTACTACTAAAATTTTAAGCCAAAATGTTCTAAACATATATGAATTAGAGAAAAAGGTATCTTGCACGAAGTCATTGTCTTTCTTGTTCTTATTTTATGAACAAAAATCACATATTTGGTATTCTATGACTCTAATAAAAAAATCAGCTTCAAAAGGTTGTGATTTTTGCTTCTGAGGTTCTGATCCTATGACAATATTTAGAACTTAGTAACCTTATATTATAAAAAATATGTGGGTACACATAATTATGTTTATATGTGTGGATGTATACTGCTTAAACAGAAGAAAAAGATAATACTTTCTGTGCCACCTTGTCAAAGAGATTGATATAATCACTCTAAAGAATATTCTGGTTCCTAAAATTCTGAAGTAACAATAATGTGAGCGTTCCAATTAACTTAGTAAATTGAAATATTCATATCTTTAAAACACAAATACTATTGTTCAAAGAGAAAAGACATAATTAGTGCATGCTCTATAATACAATGGGTTATTCCTTTATCATGAATATGAGGTAATCTTGTTTTAATGAAATATTCATTTAATTTACTCTCAAAAATTGTTTCCCATATAATTGGATTCACTTGATAAACTAAAATGTATGTCCAAAAATTTAGCATATTTCTTGAAGTCATGATCTCCCAAAGAGTTACCCAAAGAGAACACAAATAAAAACAGCGCTAGCAGATCCCCTTTCATAAATCATCACTTGGGATCATTTCATGTTTAGTCCATGGGTGGCAGTTGAGTCAACAGAAAACTGAGCTAAAACTGTCAGTAGTTTATCAGGAAATAAAAATGTGTAATTTTACATGATGATCTAGGAAAATGTTGGATGACTTCCTCTCCTACTCAGACAGCAGACGACAAAACTTCCAAACATGCCTGGCATTGTACATCAAGCCTAGCAATTCTCCTGGGACTTTCTAACACATATTTCTCTTAACCACTGGCGCCGAGAAGTTAAAAGGTCTGTACATAGATTGTAATCAATTCAGAAGTCAGAGAGGGTAAAAAACACAATGCTAACAGGTTTGTACCTGGTATTACATTTTTAGCAATGAAAAACTAAATGACCAATGATGCTACAATTGTTTGGAGCCGACATTTAAAGTGAAGAAATTCAGAAAAAAAAAAAAAAAGGGACTAAAGGCTAAATTGTACACACTATATAACAACAGAAAAAGTTACATTATCTTTTGTGCTTTAACTATAAAAAAGGGAAAGAAAAATAAACAGAAAAAACATTACAGAAGTCTTTTACAAGTAAGTAACAAAAGTTCACAAAAGATACACACATTAGCAAGCAAATATTCTTACCTTGGGCAGGATCAGGTGGACCAAATTCCAGAGAATATCGTAAAATAAAGTTATTGTTCCACACGTAGAGTTGGTTATCTCTAGGATTGTAATCCACTGCAGCAATATACTGGTACTGGTTGGGGAAGGGAACATCTACATATTCTCCTCGGTTTAATCGAGTATTGTAAATGTAATCAATTGCGTTCTTGCCTGTTTCACTCTCATTGTCTTGATAAACTGATCTGACCACATAGAGGACTCCGCAGATCATAAAAGCATTCGATGCAGCACGTTTGTCATATACAGTCTCCCATGTTGCTTCGAATCGAAGAGTGTATGGATTCAGTTGGCTAATAACTATCATTCCATTGTTCTGTTCAGTGGCATAAATGACCCATAAGCCGTTTTCATCAACTGCTAGGTCGATATCAGTCTTTCCTCCCCATCTATATGGTGAGGTATCATGATAGTTGGCATAATTAATTATGGCCTCTCCACTCTTAATTCTAGTCCTCAAATCAAATTTCACAATATTTCTCGTTCGTTCTTTGTTAAAGAAGACAGCACCATCATATACCACAAATCCAGTACCATCTACTCGATTTGGAAGTTTATATGTTGTTGTTTGGCGACTGCTTTGGAAATCTTCTAAAGAAGCATATTCTATTAAAGTATCGGTACGATAAGGAGTCCAGGGCATGAAATAAATTTTATCTGCAGCCTGAAGAGGGTCCTTGCACCAAGCACCTGCCTTTTGCTCAGCTTCATATATACATGGTGAGTCCACAATTGCTTTCAAGGTCCCAGGGCACACAAAAACTAACAGTCACAGAGAAAAGACAAGAATTAAGCCAAGTTAAAAAAAAAATTAAACATAAGTTTTAATGATCAAAAAAAGAAAAATTCATTTTATTAACATTCAATTTTACCAAAATTTATACCTAATACAAGTACTACCCCTTTTTTTCTCAAGTTACCATAATCGATGTACCAGCATAAAAAGTGGCTGGTGTTTATTTTCACAAATATAAACCTAAGTTTAAGTTCATTCATAATTGAGCTGAGAACTTACATTTTTGCTATGTGTTTTTATCTTTTAATTTGGTATTTATGCTTTAAAACTTTGAGCTTTGTGCATAATGGCATACAAAGTAGTTTATTTAAGTCCAAACTTTGTACCCTCCCTTCCCAGGCCCACTTGTGCAGCCCCCGAAAGCAAAACATCAAAACAAAGCAAATAAAACAAACAGACAAAACCCATGTGAAGGCTTATTTAGAACTTTTACAGAAGTTAGATAGAAAACAAAGGAGCTTCAATTGAAGAAACATAAATATTCGGAAAATGCAATTAGGAGCAGAGTAAAGTAAATACAAGGAAAGCAGTGATGAAAGGACCAGGAGACCTTGTAACCACGGCATGCTATGGAGAGGGTTCTGGAGACCAGGCAAGATGACACTTTAATAATAAAATATCCAAGGGTGTCAGAAAAAGAGATAAAGGGTGAAAAAGAAACAGAGAAAGGACAGTTCCCCCTCGCTGACTTCAGAATTTTTATCCCATTACCAGATTTAGCAGTCATATAATTTCATTGCAAACAGTCGACTTCTTTATGAGGTGCATTTATGAGATCCTGCTGATTATTTTAATGTCAGGAGTGTTGTGGGGGAAGGGAAGGGAGGAGGTAACATCCATAAGGCACATAACAGGGAGCTGGGGTTCAGACTGTATACGTTATTTACCTTTTTGCTCCACTTCTATTTTAAGCATCGGAAGAAAAATAAAAAGTGCAAGGAAAAAAGAAAAAAGATTAAAATAAATTGACTATTAGTCTAAGACTGAATTCGTAATAGATGCTAAATATAGGAAGAATAAGAGCTGCACTACTTTGGATAAAGAGAAACACACAACAGGAAAACCTAGCAGGAGAAAGATTCTAAAGTTACATAAAAGAACATGGATCAATCATTTTAGTAGATTAAGGAGGCAATACAAATATGTTGGCATGCTGCTTCACTTAGTGTACCTGAATAAATAATGAAATTCTTCACTAATGCACAGTATACTCCTGCCTTTCCAAGGTCATTCAGCATTCAAGTTTTACTTTATATATACATATATGCTATAGACACAAATGCATGCATTGGTATATCATCATTTATTTTATATATTTATAAAAATGGCAACTCAGTTTTGGAGCTTAGGTCAAATTTAATGATTGTAGATATGGCTACATTTTAACATTTTTTAAAAGATATTTATGTAAGAAAAAATATATAATTATGCATCTCAGTATGTGTTTCAATTGTTTTTTTATTATTTTCTATTTCTGGGAAAATTAATCTTAACCATAAAAAAAAAAAAAGCAATGCCTCCTTTACAGGAACATAAAAATCTCCCCCACCTACCCCAATAGGGATTTTGAAGGCTGGGGTAAGGTAGTACATTTCTTTCCAACTAATAATTAGTAAATTTACTTATTTAGGTTTACATATACTTTATATTATAAAATTCTCATTAAATTCTCTATATTACATATCTCAAACTTGTCATACTAAGACTATTAAAATAAAATAAGCAAAATACATACAAGGAAAAAGCAAGCACAGTAGGCAAGGAGAAAAAGGAAGAAAGAATTATGGTTAGCTTATTTTGACATCGTCTACTATTATCAAATTACACAGAAAGCAAGCTAGCATGCAACAACAATCATACCGAGCATTCAAAGCAAATACCTTGACTCCACAGACCCGATAAAAGGTAAATGCTTTCATAAAACAAACCTGATTAGTAGAATTATATGCGAAAAAAAATCCTCCCTCTAGGAAGTTTAAAGAAATGGATTATGCAGTTAGGAAGGGTACTACATGAGATTCTTGTTGGTAAAGAGTATCCTAGTGACTAATAACCATAAAGTACTATTTTAGATTGTATGTAGGCTTTGAAGTATGTTGCCTGAATTTCATAAAGTGACCAGATTAATGTCTGTGCTTCTCCTTCTTCCCTTATTAAAATGCATTAGGGTGTGCTGATACTGTATCTCCAGATTGATTACTCAAAGATACCGTACTTGAACATTTCATTAAGATGTCTTAGCTTGATTAATTTTTTAAAATTACAATAATTCATCAGGATTAAAAACTGACCTCCTGAAATACCTGTGGGAAAAACATATTGCACACGTATTTTTGCCACTGGAATAGCATATACCTTTCCACATTAAGCCACTACCTCCCCCACCCCATTTGGTCTATTTAACTACTTTCAGGAAACATACTTGCTCTATAGTGTGTAATTCTGACTGCATCCAATAAAAAGAAGAAATTCAGTGTTACTGACATGAAACAGTTCTTTTTTTTATAAACCACTAGTCCTAAAATTACTCCTCAGTGAAGAGCAATATTATACCTGCTTAGAATCAATAACGGAAGGGCATGGTGGGAAAATGAGGATAAGAGAAATCATTAGTGTTGTGACTGCTCAGAGCATATTTACATATGGCTATATTCTTTTTTCTTTTCTTTTTTTTTAGGAAAGAATGCTTTTACTGAAATAAATCAATTAAATGTAAAAGATGAAAATAATACACTAAAATGTAATGTACTTAAAACAAAACTTAAAACAAGTTCAATAAAAAATGTAGAAAGTATATTTTGTTTTACAGTAATTGAAAATGGCTGGGTTTTATTATTTGATTAACTAAAATGGCAGTGCAGTTACTTGGCAAAATATTAAATAGAAAAGTCTTCTTTTGTGATTTAACTCATATTTATACTAAAAATAAAAGGGATATAAATTGTATATAATTTATAATTCTGATGAAATTTGAAAATACCCAAATGTAAAGATGAAAAATAATTAGATAAAATCTTTGATGATTAATGACTCAAATAAGATATGGAGATTTAAAATAAATGCCTTAAATTTCAATTTTTATGAAAACCCAAAGCATAAGTATTTGTCAAATCAGCCAAAATTCTATCAATCCAGAATATAAAATCATAATTAATGAAATTAGCATTCTTCCTCACATGCCAAATATATACTGCAACTTGTCTTAAGAGACTGTATGAGTTAAATCTTAACAATATGTTTACTAATCTATAGACCAAACAAACACAAATACATGACCTGCTAACATCAGTGGAGGAGTACATGGATATGCAAAACAAGAACTGACTCAAACAAACTCAAGCCTGTATACTCTATATCTGAAGTGACACACTATTTTATTTCGAATAATCTCAAGTTTACTTAATGAAGATTTAATCAATAGTAATGGTTATTTTTTTAATCAAATAAAACTTGTAGCTAAAGTTATAACATATTTTTTATAATTTAATGATAATTTGAAATAAGAGGGTGCAAAAAACAAAACCAAATCCAACCTATAGAACATCAATTTCCAATATGATTATTCTACTTTATTCTACAAGATCTTTATAGATTATTTTAAACACATATATTCAATTAATAACACTTCCGTTAATGATAAAGGATGCCCAGTACACAGATATTTTCGACATAGACATTATGTGGGCAAGTAGAAATGTCAAATATAATATATGTGCCTGTCTATAAACATACAAAGTAAAACAAACAGCATTCCTAATGGATTCTGTTGAGTAAATTCATTATAAAATTTTCAGAAATAATGGAAAATTTCTGAAGTTTCTTTAAAAGAGGAGGAAACCGTTCGGGATGTACAAGCTCCTGGAGAATTTGCCCTGGACAGAAACTAATATAAACAAATGGCAAGGGACACAAATATTACCAGATGGTGACAAATTTTATCAAGTATAGTGTAAAACAGGTATGCAAATATTGTCAGTACAGAAACACTATTAAAACAAGGGGAAAATGAAAGCTACGGGATTAAAATAAAAGCAAGTGTAAGAGATGGGTACAATGGACAGAACCTTTAACAAAAGAGGGGAAAAGAAATAAAGAAATAAATAGTCCTACATCAGATCAGAATAATCTAAACAGATCCTTTGTATTATATTTTAATGTTAGTGAAAATCATATAACTGATAGTGTGTCACTACTATACAGTATATAGGAATTATAATTACTTCAATTCTTTAGCAAGGAGTAGTTAAAAAGCCATACACTTATTTCTGCCTTGTGCAATCATCTAGAAAGGTAACAGCAAATTAATTCCTGTGTTTTTTTAAAGGACAAAAACTAAAAAGAACAAATACTTCTCTGAGGATAGCTATTTGCAAGTTTAGTGCACAAAGTACAATACTTCTGGAGAACTGAAAAAGTAAAATTTTGCAAGTTAGATGTTCCAGAAGATATCCACATTTTCTTTCATAAACAGCGCAAGAAATAACTTAAGAGTCTGAAAATAATATTTGCTTAACACTGTTCTTGGTCTATAGACTAGGTTACAGGAACAGGCTCCAGAAAGACACAATTCTTGGCAGCTCTGACTGATTCCACTGTTTGGGAATGGATGCTGTATTCCTTTTCTAATTTGAGGACAGAAACCATGCTAAATTCAAGTGAAAGTGACTTTACGGAACAAAATTTTGGTTAGCTCAAAAGAATATAATGTTCCTCTAGTGGCACAGCAGAATGATTATGTAAGCCACCAACACACAGGAGAAATGATATCAAGATCAGTGCACTCAGTAGGCTTCCAATCCTACAAACGGTATAGAAAATACTGCAAACATAAAAAAGCA